GGGTATCTTCATCACCTCTGTCTTTTCTACGTTCACTTGAAGTTCCATCTTCGCTGTCTCTTCAGTCAACTTGTTAGTTTTTTGTTTGTAGATCTTCTAGTTTGTGCGATATTAGACAGAAATCATTATCGGTGTCAAAATCAAAATCTTCTAGGGTCTTGTTATCGGTCCATAACTCTCTTAAGAAAAAAAAGTGAAAATACGATGAGCGAAAAAATAATTGATTCAAATTCAGAGAGATGAAGTTTATCGTATTAATCACAAACAAAAAAGTTATTAGAGGCATTTTCACTCTCAAGTGAAGAATATAATGCAAACAGTTTATCGAAACTGAAAAGTAACACAATGTTCTTTGTTGAGGGTCAGTCGACAATGGGGCTTCTGTCCATTATCTTTTGACCAAAATACAATGAACTTCATATCATGTCAATTAATGAATAGCAACATTACAAGCTTTATTGATAAACTTCAATCATTGCTGTGAAATAAAAACTAGACAGTTAGATCAGTTAACCATTGGTAACCAATGACTGTCGATAACATGGCGTATGACATTATCACATAGTCTGTTATTGCTCAATCTTTTCAGCTTTGTTTTATCATTTATGTTTCTGTTTATGTAAGTAGAAAAAGGAAAAATTCATTTACCTATAGCGTTTTCAGTTGGTATTCACCGTAGATTGACGTCAGTTGGAGGAACAATGGAAACCTGGCAGCGCTGAACACCTGGTTCGTCCTAGTATGAGACTTCTCAGCAGTATTCACCCACAATCCCGCCAGACATGGAACCTGCGACCTTTTGTGGTCATCAAGTTACCACTGAACCACTGGGTCGGAATCGAATGGTCCATGACATGACAAAAGAAATAAGGTTCATGCTTGGTAATTTTTTACGACATTTTGTTCATCATCTCCATAAAGTACATACTACTAAAGTGATCAACAAAATAACATTTTATTGATAAATCCAGAAACTGTCTAGCTTTTTATTTTCTAACTATTCAGTTAATGAAGTAATTAGTGTAATTTTTGTAAAGGATTTTCTGCATCATACATAAACACAACAGAAACTGAAATCAAGTTGTATTTTCAGCAAAACTATATATAATAAGAATAAAGGACAATGAATGACAATGAATTGCAACATGTAAGTCTTCAGAGGTATGTTAAACAGAATAAAACTAAAATCTGTTTGGTTTCAATAATCTACTTCATCAAAAATTTAGAACTGATAACAGTCTTGATCAATCCTGCAATACAACTCAATCAGCGTTTAACAAAAAAACAGTTATTTAGGGCGAAAATAATGTTGTATACGATCAAATGGCTTAAAATGTATTTTGAAGAATTATTCTTTGTTAAAGAGGAAATTATACATTTTATAATCGTTAGAATTTCGGTTCTGTTTCTTGTGACTCCATTTTATAGGCTATTTGTTTGCATAACTAATGATGTTGATGGTCTGCTTGAACCTTTGTCTGAGAAATATTTCCACCAAACCTATGCGTCAAATTCTTTCCTTTCAATTTGTCTTAATCATTTAAATATGTATTCATAACATGATAATGATTTCTGTCTAATATCGCACAAACTAGAAGATCTACAAACAAAAAACTAACAAGTTGACTGAAGAGACAGCGAAGAGGGAACTTCAGGTGAACGTAGAAAAGACAGAGGTGATGAAGATACCCAACCAACAACAACAAAAGCATCAACAACTAGCACCAATCACCATCAACGGGAGAAACCTAAAGGAGGTGGTCTCTTTCCCCTACCACCTGGGCAGCATCGTCTCAACTGCAGGCGACGGCAGCACAGACAATGATGTCATAGCCAGGATCGGAAAAGCAGGACAGGCCTTCATTAACCTTAAACCCGTGTGGAGATCCACTGCACTGCACTGCGCTCAGCATGAAGAACGAGATCCGGATTTTCAACATTAATATCAGTCAAGTCAGTGTTTTTATATGGTTAAGAGAGTTGGCATGTTACGGAAAGCATTTTGAACGAACTGCAGACAAACATCAACAGCTGTCGCCCACGCTCACTCGATACTGAAGATGAGGTGGCCAGAAAGAGTAAGAATAAGCAAGAAGGAACTCACTCTGACTGGCAACGAACCAACCAAGAAGTCCTCACCCAACAAATATGCAGAGGAAATTGAAGATGGTTTGAACTGGAAATGCATCGAGAAAACCGATTTGGGACATCATGAGCTAGGTCAGGTCAGGTCAGGTGAGGTCGACGAGTGGAACCCGAATGGGAAACGACGAGTTGGGTGTCGGAAGTGAGGATGATTATATGGAGGATATGGTGTGAGGAAGAAATGAGAGGTTGTGGTGAGTGATGGATGCAGGTTAAGAGGAGTGCAGAGAAGAGAGTGAAATGGAGATGTGTTGCTGAATTCGTATGTTCTGCTGTGAACCCAAGGGAAAAATGATCATGACAATTTGTTAATTTATTATTAGTTTCTTGCTTAACTGGCACTATATGTCTCCATGAAATCTACAGCTGTTTATTTTAAAAAACCATCTTCCTGATCGGTATTCTTATGAAAACTAACACTTCGTCAATACACCCAAATAATATGACTTAGGATGCACAATGACAATGGATGAACACTGAAGCATTAACTTCATTGGATCTTTCATAATAATGGCCCTCATATTTTCATGTTTTACCTGTGATACTTCAAGTACTGAAGTTAGATGCAACAGCATGAAACCATATTGATCAATAACAAGTCTTATGTTACTTGTAACTGACTGAATATTTATCCATCTAAACGTTTAGATCACTGGTTTAAACGGTTATTGGTAGATAGATGTAGAAATTAGTTGAAGATTACTGAAATTACTTACCAGTCAACCTTCTGAGAAACTTTATGCAGCCTGCAAAGTAGATTTTATGGCCTTTTCCAACTTATGTTTGGCTTGTTTTGTCATATATTTCTACTTATCCATATACGATATTCCAGTGTTTCTGGCAAAATCCCTAAATTAGTCGGCTGACTATTTCTGCAGGAATCTATGAATTCATCAGAAACTACTTTCTCCTTTCTTGTTACTTGTTTCAAATTTACATCAGGAAAAATATTTTCAGACTGTAAAATATGTCAATGTCAATATCAGTTATTCCGTTGAAGATTTCCCTGGAAGTCGGTTTCGCATACTTTAACAAATGGGGCAAAAATAATAAACCTGATCTCGAACATATGGTAAAGTAGTGTTGTAGTCTCTTTTTTGGCTACCAGTGGAATCCAGGACTTGCCTTTCGTCTCGTTTGAGACTTGCCAGCTGCACATGCCTGCTCCTGAATGAGTCATGTTTCTCACACAGAGAAACAAATCCACTACCTTCTGCTTCAAACGCCAAAGCGTTATCCACTGGGACACGATAGCCACCACTTGTGCTATTTGTTGTTGTTTGTTACTTTTAATTTCCTGCTACTATTCGAAGACGAATCAGTCGATTTCAGTCAGTAAATTGGGTCCTTCGATACTACCAGATATTTATGATGTATCATCAATCTTAGTGACTAGCAGTGGAATCAAGAACGCACGTTCACCCTAGTTGGGGCTAGTCAGCTGCATAAACTTACAGTCTATTGGTGATGGTACTCACGGTGAGGCTCAAACCCACCTCAAACTGGTTCATACAACAAAGAACCATTTATTGATACTTGCAATTTCCCTTCACTGCACTGCCAGGTTGCTTAATCACCGTGAAACGATTCACAAAATTTTCTGTTTGACATTAAAAGCATAAGTCTCAGAGGAATACCAGTTGGTGAAACTTGACGTCAGTGAAGAAAGTTAACATTGTATCATTAACCAATATGGAACTATACATCTCACCTACTTAAAGTATTTCGAATCCCAACAATTATAGAAATGGTAATTATAGCTTTATTCTGAACCATATATCTTTCACAGTATGGAATTCTCAGTAAGTTTACTATCACAACAGTATATTCAGAGGAATGGTGTCAATAATACCAAAAATAAAGGCAATAATGTTAAACAGTCAGCTAGTTTTGAACTAGCTAGCGATCTCGAATGGAGGATGTACAGAAAATGGAATACAACTTGGTTGATTACGGTGCATCCAGAAGAAACAAAAATCCGACATTGAAGCTAAACGTCCAAAGAGTGGGAATATGATGAATTTTTGTATAACGAAAAGTCTATTTTTATCCAATTCTATAATATTTCTGTGGTTGTTATCCACTCGAGAAATCACTTGCTTCTTTATAATATTATTATTTTTCACTTGGGTTCACAGCAGAACATACGAAATCAGCAACACATCTCCATTTCACTCTCTTCTCTGCACTCCTCTTAACCTGCATCCATCACTCACCACAACCTCTCATTTCTTCCTCACACCATATCCTCCATATAATCATCCTCACTTCCGACACCCAACTCGTCGTTTCCCATTCGGGTTCCACTCGTCGACCTCACCTGACCTGACCTGACCTAGCTCATGATGTCCCAAATCGGTTTTCTCGATGCATTTCCAGTTCAAACCATCTTCAATTTCCTCTGCATATTTGTTGGGTGAGGACTTCTTGGTTGGTTCGTTGCCAGTCAGAGTGAGTTCCTTCTTGCTTATTCTTACTCTTTCTAGACATCTTACATTCAGGTGATGAAACATGTGGTGATTTTATATAATACATATATATATGTATTAAAATTATTTAATTCATATCCCTTTTTAATACTTACATCACGGACTTGAAGATTAATAAAAAATATTCGTTTAGTAAAACAGAATAGTTTTTTTTCATTTTTCTAACATCTTAATGAACCAATCGTGTCTGAAAATCACTTCCAATAAATTCTTATTTTGATTGGCTGATGGTAGTTTCAGTTACATATTCCTAAGTGAAAGTATATATATATATATATATATATGCTTAGCAGATGGTTTAATAAGAAGTAAAATGGTTTAGTTTCATTTAATTACGGAAATATCAGTAAAAGTATTAAAGTGGCTATGAGTAATTTCAGTATAACATTCAATTATTCCAATAATGAATTACCTGAACTAGTACAATTATTACATCTTGTACGTACAATATGTATGCAAATCTTAATTCCAATGGTTTGTATTATTGGTATATCAACAAACATTTTAAATATAATTATTTTAGCAAGACCAAGAATGCATTCTTCAACTAATAAATATTTATTAGCTGTAGCTGTTTGTGATTTATTCTATGGAATTATTTTAATATTACTTTCATTAAGAACAATTAATAAATTTGAAACTGAAGAATATTATATGTATTTATTACCATATTAATGGCAATTGGTAATTTATGCAGTAATACAGGTAGTTGGTTAACATGTGCATTCACTGTTGAACGATATATTGCTGTCTCATCACCAATCTTAGCACGTAAAATATGCACAAAAAAGAATTGTAAATGGATTATACTTATTCTTTGTTTATTTACATTTTTAGTCACATTACCAGATTTTATATCATATACTATAAAATGGAGTGAAGAAGTAAATTATGAAAATAATAAAAGTATAAATGATGATTTAAATAATCTTAATGATTTAACATTGAATAATAATCAAAGTAATAATAATAAAGGAATTATTCAACAAATATCTATACGTGAACCACATTATATTTTAACTGAAACAGAATTTGGTAAAATGATGAATAGAAATGGTTGGCCTATAATAATTATTATCTTAGTTGTTATATTACCATTAATAATACTATCAGTTTTTAATGGTCTACTTATTAAATCTATTGTAAATGCATCAAAAATACGTATGAAATTAACTAAAAAATCAAATATATACCTTTTACCACAAATTCGTTATAATATTACATGTGTTACTGATATTATTAATTCAAATTTAATTAAAGATAATATAATACCAATTCATAGAAAACAACATGATTGTTATTCACTTGATACATCAATAGAAAAAAATAATCAAAAATATTTTATACCTAAAAATCATCAATTAAATGAAATACATATTGATAACAATTCCAATATCTAATTCAATTAAAAGAAAAAATAATTTTAAATATATTAATAATGATATTTCACAAATTAATACATTCAATTATCCAATAAAAAATCGATATAAATCATCTATTTTGCTTAAATCACATTCTTGTTTAAGTGAACGTGAAAGAATTACATTAATGTTAATATTAATTGTTGTTGCATTTTGTGTTCTAACTATGCCAAGTGCAGTAGTTCATTTGATTAAAGTATCTTATTCAAATATTAATAAAACATCTATACGTTTAAATTTAGCTATAGCAGGAAATTTTGTTAATTTAAGTTTAGCTATTAATTCAACATTGAATTTTTTTTTCTATTCATGGTTAAGTCGACGTTTTCGTAAAACATTTCATAGTCTTATAAAGTGTAAATAATCTAAACAAAAATGATAAAGGAAAAAAAATATCTTCTTTCTTCTTACATTTATTTCTTATGTTCAAATCTATTTATGTACAACAAAATTGTTTTCAATAAACAAAAAATATATATGTTTACATTACATTAAATGAACAAAATGAATGAGGATTTACTTGTCAACGACAGTAGAATGTATTCATGTAGTTTTTTTTCATTGTCTTGGGGTAATCTTTGAACGATAAAGTTGTTTTATAATGATCTCATACCGTGGAGTTTAGCTGATGGATGCAAACTCTTAACCCTACAATAACTACATCATTCATCAATGGACAAATTCTCTTTGGATAAGTCTACTAAGAAAATATTATTATTAGTTACTAGTAAGTTTTTCAACATGTCATTCAAAAACATTATCATAAAACTGATATTTATTGACCATTAAACTTATTTATTTATTTATTTTTTGGTTATCTTTTTCAAAACATTTAATCACCTAAATAAAATCCACAGATTGTTGTGACAAATTGATTTATTATATTCTAAGATATTCACATAGAGGTGAAATTCAAAGGTGCTTACTACTGAGGAATCATATACTAGGACTGAAACAACCAGGTATCCGGTATCCTCAAGATTTCTACTGTTTCCCCAATCGATGCAAATCTATGATGAATAACAACCTGAAAAGCATTTTATTATATCAGCAGCAAACGATAATTTTTTTGGAAGGTACAGTTGACAAGTTAGGCATATATATTTTTCGGTGCAGCATAATGTTTAACTCCAATGTTAGTAATTCACTCACCACCATACAGTGTCTACAAAGTGAAAATGCATCATTGTAGGCAAGATGTACACTCTGACGAGAGTGCAGAGGTCTTACGAAGAAGGTCAGTTGGGAAACATCCCTATAGTAAATTTATACGGTTCACTTACTCATTAAGCAAGTATTTTTCTGAAATGTGGCAACTCAAAAGCTTACTATTCCATTGAGGTTTGTTTGGGTCTCCACAGTATGTCGTGCTAAAAAATGCATACAATACTTCAGTGTTATCTGAAGTTTTGCACCTCATCTTCTGGTTTGCTGGCATCATCAGTACCAACTTTCTGAAAACAGAAGAATGGTGTTTTTGTTGAACTTAGATTTTCAATAATTCTTGATCAACAGGCGTTACAACCGAGGAACTCGCCAAGCTGAAGATGAAAATATGATGACAGAATCATCAAACGTCAAGGAATAGCATACTAATGCTCTTCTAATCGTGAGATACAAAAAAGGCCTTCATTGTTTTCAAGAGTACATTCAACGGATCTAAGTATACAAAAAATTATGTTCTGTTGTAAGATGCTAACAAGACGGAGCCGACGTTGAGTGAAATGTGTACACAAGTGATTTTAAGTATTTCGTCCATTATGTGCTAGTAATTAGATAAATTGCCTTGTCGATATGCTTTCTCCACCGAATGAACTAGAGAATTCGGCACACCTTTTGGAATTTATTCAAGATAGAATGCTTTGAGAGCAGGAAAGCGAACCATATTTACCCATCGAAAACGAGACATTGTTGTCACATTTTACCTAATATTAATGATGTAAATGTATTTAAGAGCTAAATTCCTCGGAAATACTTAAGTGTAGTTAATTTTTAGTGGAACAAATCGAACAACTGAAACACGATTACCACCTAGCATCTACTCATTTATTGACAAAGAACATTCATTCATTCTATGCTCATAATAACTGCGGAATAAAGATTGTTTAGGGGAAACATTTGCGATGATGGAAAATGTCTTGAAAAGACAGGCTCATTACTTGATGTCACAAGATGGACAATGTTCGATTTTTAGCCAGCAGGTAGTTATAGCCTGGTTTATAAGCAAAATCATCTATATCTACGGCCGCATAACTTTTCAAGAATTTCATTTCTAATTGTTTACTCAGATCAATTGTATCAAAGCCTTAATCCGTATGACTTGGCGTAGAATTTTTATTTTACTGAAAAATAAGAACTACAATGGTCAACATCTTATAACTAATTAGTAAGCAAACACTTTCAGAAAACGAGTTACGGACTAGTTGCAGACATGAAAAAAAGGTATGTTTGCAAAATTTTGTCTGACAACAAATTTATTGAAAACTCAAAGTACTGCGGAATTTTCGGAACTTGTTCATAGAATTTTGTATTCAGATCATTCTTTAACTGCAAACATTATTATATAATCTGACAGAAAATTATTTAAAAGTTGTAAGCCGTTGTCACTCACCTTAGCAATACCTTCGTTGATAACGCATAATACGGAAGAGCACAAAAATGCCCCCCAAATTATGCCAAGCTTTTTATTTACTGCAATTCAGTTTCTTATGACGAACTAGGTTACCGTGTCAAAACCAGGATCAGAAAGACAGCAAGACAGGCTTTTATTAATCCAAAATCATTGTGGAGATCTATTGAACTCAACACAAAGAACAAGATCTGGGTTTTCAACACCAAAGTCAAGTCAAAAATGTTATATGGTTCAGAAACTTGCCCCGTCAAGAAATGCACTCCAAACAAACTACAGACATTCATCAACAGCTGCCACCTACGCTGGCTCAATACTGAAGATCAGATGGATTGCCAGAAAGAATGAGCAACAAGGAACTCTGGCTTCAACGAACCAACCAAGAGTCTTTCACCCAACAAATATGCACTGGAAGGAAGTGGAGATGGATTAATCATGCACTGAGAAGACCATTCGGGGACATCACGCGCCAGACTAGGCTGGATAGTTGACTGGAACGTAGATGTGAAGTGACGAGCTGGGCATCGGAGACGAGGGTGATATGGAGGAGACCGTGTGAGGCAGAAGTGAAGCTTATGGGCATTCACGGTGCCAGTTTTTGAAGACTGGAGAGAACAGGGTGTAATGGAGGCGTGCTACCGAAGCCGTATGTTCTACTAGAAACCCAAGGGAAATTAATAATTATAATAGTAAACTAGGTTACCGGAACTAAGCTCTTCTGCGTTTACGTAATAACAGACAATTGCTTAAGTACATACAGTACTCTTCAAAGATGCATTCCGAATATAGAGACAACATTGTAATAAGAGAATGCACTAGTTTGTCACAAACGTCATATTTTCATAAAAAATTACTTAAATCTGTCAACTGAGAATCAGCTGAATATTTAGAAAACGTTTAGTTACCAAGTGGAATTTTAAGATTGTTAATTAAACGAAAACAAAACTGAATTCTTTTCCTACTCATTCTCACATTATAAGAAAATTTTTATCGAACCAATTTCTTTTGAAAAAGTGTTTTTAAAAGCATTTTTGTATAAAATTTCATAAATGTACCATTTATAAACTGGCAAATCAAAAACCATAAAGACGTAACAAAAATTGGACAAATCTATAAACTAACATATTAATCAAATTAGTTTATACGAAAAGTTTGATGAATGAAGAAGTGTATAAACACATTACATCATATACTAAAGCAAGTATTTTTCACAAGAATGTCATTCCTATCTTACTCTACCCTAAATTTATGAAGACTTCAGGTTTAAAAAGTGATTGCTGAGCAATAATTTTGTTCTCCACTATTATTTTGATTATTATTTTTCTCTTCGGTTTTTACCGGAACATAGAGCTTTAGTAGCACGCCTCCATTCCACTCTCTTCTCAGCGGTTCTGTCAGCCTGGCTTCATCACTCACCATAAGCTTTCATTTCTTCATCACACCATCTCCCTCATGTCACTATCGCAACCCTAACTCGTCAATTCCTACGCAGGTTCCACTCGACGGCCTGGCCTGACCTGGCGCGTGATGTCTCTAAACGGTCTTCTCAATGTATATTCAGTCCAAGGCGTCTCCACTTTCTTCTGCATATTTGTTAGGCAATGGGCTCTTGGTTATTTCGTTGCCGGACACAGTGAGTTCCTTGCTGCTTATTATTCTGGCCATTTGATCTTCAGTATCGAGTGAGCGTAGGTGACAGCTGTTGATGTGTACATGTAGTTTGTTTGGAGTGCTTTTCGTAACACCCCAAGTTTCTGAACCATACAGAAGCATTAACTTGACATAAGTGTTGAAAATTCGGTCTTTTTCTTTATGTTGAGTGTAGTGGATCTCAACACTGGTTTCAGGTTGATGAAGACCTGTTTTTGCTGTTTTTCCGATGTTGGCTTTGATATGCTCATCTGTGCCACCAGTGGTTGAAACAATGCTGCTCAGGTAGGTGAAAGGGACTACTTCCTTAGGTTTCTCTCTCACTTCATTCTTTACTCTCTAGAAATACTGAATGCATTTGGAAAGATGAACCAACTGAAAAGAATATTATATGTCAATGTTTTGTGTGACTGTCATCAGCTTCACCAATCTAAAATAAGTTTAGCATCAAAATATGCAAAACTAATCTAGACACTAATAAATGCTATTCCATAGTCGATATCGATAGAAAAGAGTAAGAGAATTGAAAAGGATTATCTTGTCAAACGATAATGATTTGTATGCCTAGGAGAGGAAAAAGAAGACGAGAATTTCATCGAACATTTTTTAAAATCATAAATTACATCAGTTTTGACAATCTTGAATTAGTTCACTTAATCTTAAATGACAGCACAAACAAAAGTTAGACAGAATATGAAGTAATTTGGAGGAAATGGAGGGCATGAAAAAAAGTGTCATTATCATTGTAAAGATACAAAGTAATAAAAAGTCTTCATCGTCGTGAAATATTTCAGACCACCTCTTCCTCATCCGACGGGTTGGCTCTATGTTTTTGGACAACAAATTAAGCTGGAGTGCAGCTACATTTTTTACAATCTGAAAGGATTTTGACCACTTTAGAAGCAGGCCAACCTGTGTAAGAAGACTATCTTCAGAACAAGCGTTATATTCTTTCATAGGACATTCATTAGTGAATTGATGCAACTGCATATGCAATTTAGATGTAAGCAGATGTAGTTGAAACGTATTCGATATTTTATTTTCAGTCTGTTTTTTTATGCATGATCACAAACGTGAGCTTGACG